GACAATTTTCACCGGGAGATAAAGTGCTTGTATTACTCCCATCCTCTAGCTCTAAACTACTCGCCAAGTGGCAAGGACCCTTCGTGGTCACACGACGAGTGGGGGACGTAGATTATGAGGTGGTGCGTTCTGACAGGGGGGGAGCAACACAGATTTACCACCTTAACCTCCTGAAAGCATGGAGGGAGGTGGCGTCTGTTTCTCTGGTCACCACGGTGATTGAGAGAGATGAGTTGGGACCGGAGGTCATTAAAAGCAACAAATTAGCCCCGGTCTGTTGTGGCGACAATCTCGCACCGGGCCAGAGAGCAGACGTTGCTTCGTTGCAAAGGCAGTTTGCCGATGTGTTCTCCCCGCTGCCAGGGCGCACCTCTCTCATACACCACCGCATAGAAACGCCCCCGGGCGTGGCCATTCGTTCACGGCCCTATCGGCTGCCTGAACACAAGAGGAAAATTGTTCAGGCGGAGCTTCAGGCTATGCTAGAGATGGGAGTGATAGAAGAGTCCACCAGTGACTGGTGTTGCCCCGTCGTGCTGGTACGTAAGTCCGACGGGTCAATCCGGTTCTGTGTGGACTACCGCAGGGTGAACGAGGTGTCCAAATTCGATGCTTATCCAATGCCCCGGGTCGACGAACTCCTGGATCGGCTAGGCACTGCTCGCTTTTACACGACGCTGGATTTAACCAAGGGCTATTGGCAGATTCCCCTTTCTCCAGAGTCTAAGGAAAAAACGGCCTTCTCCACTCCGTATGGCTTATACCAATTTGTCACACTTCCTTTCGGGTTGTTCGGAGCTCCAGCCACTTTCCAGCGGCTCATGGACCGGGTGCTGCGTCCCCACTCTGCATATGCTGCTGCTTACTTGGATGATGTCATCATTCACAGTGAGACATGGGAGCAGCATATGCAGCAGGTGGGGGCAGTGCTCGAGTCCCTGAGGCAGGCGGGGCTCACGGCCAACCCGAAGAAGTGTGCGGTTGGACGGAGGGAGGTACGGTATCTGGGGTACCACTTGGGCGGCGGGCAGGTGCGGCCACAGATAGAGAAAACAACCGCCATTTCAGCCTGTCTGGCGCCCAAGACGAAAAAAGAGGTCAGGAGGTTCATGGGGCTGGCCGGCTACTACAGGCGGTTCATCCCGTCCTTTTCGGAGCTGACCAGTCCCCTGACCGACCTGACCCGAAAGGGTGCTTCAGATCCGGTCCAGTGGACGGAGCGGTGTCAGCTGGCGTTTGAGAGGGTTAAAAAAGCCCTCTGTGGTAAGCCGCTTCTGTATTCTCCTGACTTCTTTCTCCCTTTTGTGTTGCAGACCGACGCCTCGAACAGTGGGGTGGGGGCCGTTTTGTCCCAGCAGGTGGAGGGGGTCGACCGCCCCGTACTGTACATTAGCCGTAAGCTCGCCCAGAGGGAGGTGAACTACAGTACGGTGGAAAAGGAGTGCCTCGCCATACGGTGGGAGGTCGGCGCCCTGCGGTACTACCTCCTGGGGCGCCCTTTCACCCTCTGGTCGGACCATGCCCCGCTCCAGTGGCTCCACCGCATGAAGGATGCCAACGCCCGGATCACTCGGTGGTATCTGGCGCTACAGCCTTTCAACTTCAAGGTGATCCACAGGCCGGGTAACCAGATGGTCGTGGCTGATTTCCTCTCTCGCTCGGCGGAGGGGGGGGGGAGTCAGCTTGCGGCCGGCGGGATCCCGGCCTGAGTCGGGCGGTGGGGGTATGTGGCAGCGGGGTGTGGTTAGGGCGCCGGCTGCTGGTGTGAAGGGAGTGGCTCGGCCGGAGGCCAGACAGCTGATCGGAATCAGGTAATCAATCACTGAATAAAAGCATGTGGTAACCTGGTTCTGGTCTGTCTTGCAGTAGGCAGGATCCTGGGAGGTCGCCGAAGGACCTGTGGAGGAGCCCACACGGGCAACGTTTTGCAACCCGTGTTGGACACTTTGTTTTGGTGCTAATAAACGCCTGTGTTAAACCCAAACCCTGCTCTTTCCGTCCCTCTTTGAACCCTGTGTGAGCAGAGAGGCTCACAATGGTATACCCAATGTCATTTTGAAGGAGCCAGCGGAAGGACTTGCCCTTATATTTCCCAAACTGCAGGATGTAGTCTCCAGCCACCTCCGTTCTATCAGAAGCATCCCCTCCTCTCATACGGACCACGGTGAGCGCATTTTGCTTGACCACTGCCTCCTTCACGGGTGCATGCTGGTCCTGTAGAGACGGGTTGTCTTTGAGAAGTCTGGCTGCATCTGTGGGATCCTGCCGCAGATATCCCAGTGGACCCTTGCGGAATGTGACAGTCATCCTCCCAGGGAAAAATGTGTTTTTTTGGGTTTTATCTGTCAAGAAGAAAATATATATCAGTGAGTTAATGATGTGATGGGGTCTAATAGAGAGCAGACTTTAACTGTCTGCACATTGTGCTATGATATATGTAGTGCTATTTTACTTTGGATCAGATATTGTTGATCTTTGTTCCTGTATGTCTGGAGCTGTGTGTTTGTTGAAACTATTTACACTTCCATTACCTCTCCCCCATGGGTCAAACCCTTTTAACTAACAAAGGGAGCTCAGCCAAGGCTGAATTCACACCTCAGCTGCCTTTGTTCCAGGCCTCCCCCCCAGTCATGTGACCCAGGTAACACTTTAGTGTGAAGTGTCCTATAAAATCTTAGGTCACAGGCTTCTCCTACAGAGCAACACAATAATACAGATAAACAGGAAAATATAGTGCAAGTAAATATTAAAAAGTAAATACAAAAAGAAAAATAGTATAATTACTAAGTAGTAGATGAATGTTATGGATGTGGTTTCAACAGTTCTGGGGCCTCATTTATAAAGGGATATACGCTCAAAAAATGGCGTACGCCAGTTTCTACGCAATGTTTGCGATTTATAAAATACTAACTTGACGGGAAAATGTGCTGTCCTCCACGCAAACTCTAACCCATGCGTACGCACTAAGCACACAAACGGGAGAGACGAGAAACTGCGACACCGTTGGCAGAAGGAAGAATGGAGAGAAATATGTGGAAATAATACCATAAATAAAATGTTACCTCTCATTTATCAAATATGAAGAATTCATTTTCAAACATTGATTAAAGCCAATCTTTAAATGATTAAACAAACGCCTGTTTGAGACTCCTCAGTGCACACAAAAACATAACTTGGAGAAATAAATAAATACGGATATGTTATTTAAAACCACCTCGAATATGTTGTGTTAATGTTATGAAATGTTTTCTCATAAATGATGCGGTAAGCAGGAGGACAGAATTACGTCTAAACTGACGCCGTTTTGCATTTCTATATGTTGTAGATACGAGCATGGTTTTATATACTATCACGTTTAATCGTGTTTTATGCCGTTTGCCAAGACTTGATAAGTCGCTCGTAAAACACAGGAGGTATGGAAACTAAGAACACCATATGTGGTAAATTGTACAGCTAATATAACACAACACATTAGTTGTATTTCCTTTAACTGGTGGATTATGGATATATAGTTGCTGATCGACAGCTGGAACACAAACCACCAAATACAACAAAAATAATTCAGATCCAGTCGTCATGACTACACTCCGGAGGGATTCCCCGATCATTTCTTACAGTTTCTCATCAAGGGGGTGTCTCCTGTCCCCGGGACAAACACACTGCCTGAGGAAGGTTATGTGTATTTTTTTTGTCATTAACTTTTTTCGGACCACTTATTTATTTATTTTGGTGACGATCCGACCTCCATGCTGCTACTCTGGTTCAAACTGCATCCACCAAACAATATGATTTATCTCGACCTCCCCACAATAACCTAAATCTGACACGGTGTGAGATGTCTTTTTTAGCTGTTCTATCGTAATTTCCTGCGATCTTCTTCATGCAGTCAGTCAGTCAAAATGAATGAATGAATGGGCGTTTCTTTGACTATTTATAGGCAAATATGGGCGTTACGAGTCGATTGTGATTTATCAAGGGAAACAGGCGTAGGGAGTGCCGTACGCACTTCCCTCGCCGGTACGCAACGTTTTGTGAATCGGAAAATGGCGGAAAATTTATGTACCTATTTTTGTGCTTTGTACTACGTAAGCAACCTTCCTACGTCAATCCTACGCAAGGCGTTATAAATGAGGCCCCTGGTGTTTAGCAGTGTGTGTGTGTCTGCATCTATTATGTATATTTAACCCCGTCTGGGCAACGGCACAGCTGAATATACATAATACTTTTTTATCCAAAAGTAAACTGCTGTTAACTTGTCCCCACGCTGTGTTTTGTAACAGTGATGGGTTAGTATATCTAACCCCGGTTTATTGGAAAATAATACAGGAGTTAATGGTAATCTTACATGGTAGTTAGCGTTAATTCCCGACGGGGAGTGAACACACTTTTTGGTTGTTGTGGTTAACAGCCATGCAGTACAGACATTCAGAAAAAGAATGCCCCTGAACCACCTATGCTGGAGAATATATTTTGGACAACTGTAAAGACTGTCTGTCGAGACCAGGAGGAACAGGGCGCAAACGCAAAGCACGTCATCTAGGAACCTATAAGTGGACGACGGACTCTCCCCATTCTCTTCTGATGACAAAATGTCAAATGAAATGTTGGTGTCCATTAAGGCTTGCCATAGTTTCCTGGTTCTGGCTGTCCATGGAGCACATGAGTAGATTTGTCCTCTTTCCATCCATATTGCCCTGATGAAATCCAAGGGCCCTTATTTCTGACAGTCTATCAACAGTCAACAGCTTGTTTGATCCCTTGGAGCTTCAGATTCCCAGGTAGTACTTTCCAGTTTCTCTCATCAACACGGCGTAAGGAACTATGTGAATTCGGGCTACTCATTAGAACTTAAAGGAAGTGCATTGGCCGGGAATCGAACCCGGGCCTCCCTAAACGCTTTCCCATTCATTATCTATGGTAGTGCTAAATCACTACGGATGTAATATATCTTTGGCCACGAGTGGCGCTGTGGCACACTTGCCTGTGAGAGCTGTCTGCTCCCCCCCTCTCTCCCTCAGTGAGAGACTGGACAGCGACGTGACTGCATACATCTTTTTCATCTCTGAACATTACGACCAAACTATAAGGTAAGTTATATTAACCTGAATTAATAACAAAGAAGCGACATGTAATGATATGTTATCTGGGCTGTGTCTGACGTGTTTTGGTTTAGATGAACGCCATAAAGTTGTCTGTGTTTCCTAAGTGTATCGAGTCTAACGGCTGCATGTACACGGCACTTTGGGATGAGATACATGTTAATGTAAAGTGAATTAAACTTTAGCCGCTTAAAGTTAATGTAATATGATTTGTGTGTGAGTTTATTATGTTTTTGTTGACTTGGTGAGTAGAAATTACTGCGAGTTCCTTGTGCTGAAATCCTCCGTGTTAGCGTTTACATTAATGCATATTTAAATATATAATTTAACGCTAACTACCATGTAAGTTCACCATTAACTCCCATATAATTTTTTATAGATATTGACAATTCTGCATAAAAAGTCATTTTACTTTTATTTTGGTGATAGAACTTGTTTTAATATACATGATTGATGGCAGTCTTTATCATAGAAATGCATTTCTGTTTGAATTAGCTAAAAGGAAATTGGACAAGAAAGGGTGTTTCTAGATAGGACACTCCACACTAAAGTGTTACCTGGGTCACATGTCTGGGGGGAGGCAGCTGAGATCCTGGAACAAAGGCAGTTGAGGTGTGAATTCACCCTTGGCTGAGCTCCCTTCACCCTCAAATTTTTTTCCTTTGTTAGTTAAAGAGTTTGACCCATGGGGGGGTAATTGAAGTGTAAATAGTTTGTTTCAACAAACACAGAGCTCCAGACATACAGGAAGAAAGGCATTTAGGTGCTTGCCCCACGAGGACGCATACGGCCGTTTGCGTAACTGTTTAGTGTCATATAGACCGTTCTGTCACACTAGGACGACCGAATATGACAGTAAACAACTGCGGTAACGATAACGGGTCCCAAGGTGGATAGCACGGCATACGCAACGCTCTGGGGGGTCCAACGGCTCCGTGTGTAGGACCTATACGATCATTTTGTGATAATGATGACGCAATAGCCCCGCCTCCCCCCACCTCTGCTGCTCATCGTCAAAGTAAACTGCACACTGAATTCAGATTATTTATCTTTCTCTCGATATGGACATAAACGCGAGTTTAATCTGACAGGACGGAGACACGCAGCTCCACGCAGCTCCTGTGTGTTTTGCTCCTCCCGCTGCATCACAGCGGGAGGAGCAAAACACACACTTCAAGTCAGATCATCACCCTTAGCTATTTTAATTACCTCTCAAACTACCTAAACTAGTTATAAATGTTTATTTTTACTGTCGGCCGGGTCACTCATTACTGGATCAGCTGCTGCATGAGACAGACACTGACCCTGTCAGAAGAGAGGGAGGAAAAAGAGAGGCTCTGTGTATTTTATTATATATAGTCGTTATTCATTTGTTTTAAAGCTCAACAAATAACTAAGTAGACCTTTGACCGGCACTTTTATAATTTTGTCTGGAAGATTTAAACTTTAACGCACGTTGGCCGGCGAAAAACTCTGCTCGGTTCCCTCGGCCCCCACCACGGTGAATAAACAGAAGGGTAACCATGACAACCATGCTTCTTCGCTGCTTTTGTGGAGGAAGTTACAGCGCCACGTACAGGCTCGGCATATGTATTGCAGCTTTTTCCAGCGGTTGGAGCTAAGCGGAGCTGTCTCGTGTGAACAGACACTATCCGGTGTATATTGCGTGTGGACGGAAGCTTTTTTGTGATTGCGTTAATCCTATGCGTTTTGCCGTATGCGTCCTCGTGGGGCAAGCACCTTAATGAAGGTGCACAAAGATCAACAAAATCAGATACAAAGTAAAATAACACTACATATATTATAGCACAATGTGAATGTGCAGACAGTTAAAGCTAGGGCTGAGATGTTAACCTCATAATGTCTGATCTAAGTCTTGTCTGTTTGCATTTAAGGATGGATCAAAATGAAGAGCTGGAGCAAGCGATGCTGAGTATCTCTCCTTCCAAGCAACGTGTGCAGAGCTGTGAGTGAACATGTTATCTCTGCTTGTTTTACACTGCCTGAAGAGTTAAAATAATTTATAATTCAGCCTGTTCGATATTACTCGTGTTTTTTTACAGCTCAAAATATGTATATAAATTAGGGATCGACCGATATGGCTTTTTCAAGGCCGATACCGATTATTAGTAATCAAGGAGACCGATAACCGATATTTGGAACCGATATACATTTGCAGTAAAATCAGAAAATCTTGGTGTCAAAATGTAGAATAACACAAACTCCAACACAACTTCTTTGAAATGCATTTAAGCATATATTATGTTTAATGAACTTTTTACATCTTACAACTGGTTTCCTCTCTGTGCCCTTTTCTTTAGTGCAGCCATCTGCAATGAGTTAGAGAGGGACAGAGAGTTCAAAGTGGGGCTGACATGCTTAACTAACAATAATGCTTAATTTATTATATCAAAACAATGCCTGTCTATCTATCATAAAATCCCAATAAGCTGCTAGCAACTGCAAAACACTAGTGCTAGCTAATGTTTTGCAAAATATTAAAAGTGAGGCTATTACAGTAGACCTAACGTTAGTCTAGTAGCCTCACTTCTAATATTTTGCTAAACATTTGCTAGATACATGTTGGCTAGCTAATGAGCTTCACATAATATCCCCCCCCTCCGCACCACAGTTACTCCGCTGCGAGACGCTGCACGCACCCCCTACTCTGACTGACTTCCCGCGTCCCTGTGTAACTGGGAAACTGATAGAATTGGATCATAAGATCATGGTGTTTTTGCAACTTCAGCATAGGGGATTGGGATGTTTATTGAACTTCGTCTTTCAACTGACTTACCTTCGAAACACATGTATGGCTCTGCTGCTCAGCACTGCTGCTTGCTTCAGTCTGTGTCTGCGTTGTTTAGCACCTGCCTGTAATCTGAGAAGTCCCGCCTCTCTGGCTGGCTCCCGCCCGGAAAATCTTCAGTGTTGATTGACACTTCAGTAATAGCCTATCAGATAGCGCTGTGGGCGGGACATTGCTCGTGTACACAGAGTGGTGACTGCAGCCAGAGAAACGGCCGCATCAGAGCCAAAGTTTTATCTGCAATTTAATTAAAAAAAGGCCGATACCGATAATCGGTCAAATAGGGAATATCGGTCGACCCCTAATATAAATCACTCTTTCTGTTTGTTTTTTGCAGCGGTCTCTGCACAACCATCAACAGCAAGCCCACAACAAGCTCCAAGAACAAAAAGAGGTTTATTTTTATTTTTCATTCCTGATGTCATCAGCTGACAACTCTGGGACCATGAATTATTTTCCCAAAATTAAGCATGACTTTCTGTCACATGTTGGCCATGTTCTGGTCTGTTTGTCTTTGCTCTTCTACATGTTGTCCTAGTGACTATGAATTGAAACCAGTCATGTTGAGGGTAAGTAACTGCTTTTTTTCTTATTTGGATTGAATGAAAAGTACACATTTAAACTGCTGTGGTCACTAACACTTGAACGCATATGTTTGCAGTGTACCAAGTTATTTCATCTGCTCAGACTGAGTTGTAATGACTGAATGCTGAATATGAATCCAAACAAAAATAATGCATGTGTATGAATGAAATATATTCTCTAAACATTAATATGATAAACAGTGTGTTTCACTTTATGAGATTAGCAGGTGAAGTAAAGATGGGTGATGTTTGGTCTTACTAACGTAATTACTAATTTCTATATTGCCATAATATGAATACACTGACACACTTTTCTGTTTTAGTACCATCTGCTACCCTCTCCACACAAAGTCAACGGAAGGCTTCACTAGTAGATGGTAATGCATTATATTACTGTTTATACATTTAAACCCTGAATCACATTCACTGTGCATCTGTCCAACATGTTGATGAATCTTTTGGCTATCCCTCCATGCAGCCCCTGCTCTTCCTGTAGGGGGACTTGTGCCCCTACCAAAGGAGCTGATGTTTCTGATGCCGGAACCATCCGCCCCGACACCAACAGAGACCAACATCACTGTTCCAGGTGTGTATATGTTTGACTCTTTGCACCTTGTACAGTTTGCTGACTACAGTGAAGATGCTAAGTGTCATACAACATTATTTCTTTATTTTACTGTTGATAATAATGACATGTTTTCATATTTTCTATAGTGGCTCCTGAGATATCTCCAGAGCACTGTCAACCAACACTGCATCCACAAACACAAAGTGAGTAATAATAACAATAATAATACATCACATTTTTGAGGCACCTTCAAGTGTTTGAATGTTTCTCATTTGGATGTGTACTTGCTAGATAGAAAAACATCCAAATCACAGACAATCGTAATTATTTGCCATGTGTTTTTATTTATTGTCTGCCTAGGTCAGCCATTACCCAGGCCATCATCGGTCCCCAGCTGTCCTCCTCCTCAGCTTCCTGTCTACGACCAGGATGTCAGTCAGTGGAACTGTTCGCCTCAGCAGAGGACCTGGATGAAGACGGAGCTGGAATCCATGGGGCTCTTGCCAGGCTCTGTTCCTGTACCAAACCCTCTAAAGATGGTGTCATTGTGGCGTGGCCCTCCCCAGCCAGAGCTGATTGACAGTGTTTATGATTTTCCCTGCGCCAAGTATTTTCAGCTCCATCCCTTTTTCATCTGGAAGCCAGAAAATGACAATTTGATGGGAAGGCTGAGGAACAATTACACTCTGCCGTGTATTGACGGCTGTGCTCAGCCTCAAATTGCCTCTGCTGGTGTTGGTAGGCCTCGTGTGATTGTCGGCATCACCGGACAGTACTACTTGCTGTCTTCAAGGCTCTGCTGCAAAGTCTGCCGGAAGAGGTGGTATGCCGACAACCCATCCTGGCTGGAAAAGCTCCCCAAGAGGTTCACCAACCTGCTGCCAGCAGTACTGACTTACAAGAAGGCCATCTGTAAGTCGGTACTGTACGTGCTCCAGCGCACCAGGAAGTCACCCACTGATATGGCAAAGCAGATCACGGAGTTGATGCACCTGAAATATGAACGGGCTGACCTGGCGTATCTCCTCAGCTGTAAGAACATCATGAATGGTGAGGAAGGAAAGTATGACCAGAGGACAATTAGCCAGTCCCTTCGGCAGGAAACCAAGCCAGCTCCCTTTGGAGAGTATGGGGACACTGATGGCTGGAACGGTATCTCTGTGTCTGCACAATACCTCACAGACTGCCTACTGCATGAGTACCAACACCAGCAGTTTCAGTTTCCTGCGAACCCTCCTGATGATTCTGATGTGAAACAAGATGTGACTGCAGGAACGACTCCGGAGCCTCACACAGAGCCAGGTAAACATTAGATGCACAGACAAAGAAGTGAATAATCCTTCAGCATCAGTGACTGGATTTCAATAATCTATTTTTATAAAGAGCCTTTCTTTTCTTAGACATTAAAGGTCACCTATTATGCAAAATACCCTTCCTCATGTCTCTTCTACATCAACATGTGTCCCCTCTTCTCCATGTCTCTTCTACATCAACATGTGTCCCCTCTTCTTCATGTCTCTTCTACATCAACATGTGTCCCCTCTTCTTCATGTCTCTTCTACATCACCATGTGTCCCCTCTTCTTCACGTCTCTTCTACATCAACATGTGTCCCCTCTTCTTCATGTCTCTTCTACATCACCATGTGTCCCCTCTTCTTCACGTCTCTTCTACATCAACATGTGTCCCCTCTTCTTCATGTCTCTTCTACATCAACATGTGTCCCCTCTTCTTCATGTCTCTTCTACATCAACATGTGTCCCCTCTTCTTCATGTCTCTTCTACATCAACATGTGTCCCCTCTTCTTCATGTCTCTTCTTCATCAACATGTGTCCCCTCTTCTTCATGTCTCTTCTACATCAACATGTGTCCCCTCTTCTTCATGTCTCTTCTTCATCAACATGTGTCCCCTCTTCTTCATGTCTCTTCTACATCAACATGTGTCCCCTCTTCTTCATGTCTCTTCTACATCACCATGTGTCCCCTCTTCTTCACGTCTCTTCTACATCAACATGTGTCCCCTCTTCCTCATGTCTCTTCTACATCAACATGTGTCCCCTCTTCTTCATGTCTCTTCTACATCAACATGTGTCCCCTCTTCTTCATGTCTCTTCTACATCAACATGTGTCCCCTCTTCTTCATGTCTCTTCTTCATCAACATGTGTCCCCTCTTCTTCATGTCTCTTCTACATCAACATGTGTCCCCTCTTCTTCATGTCTCTTCTTCATCAACATGTGTCCCCTCTTCTTCATGTCTCCTCTACATCAACATGTGTCCCCTCTTCTTCATGTCTCTTCTTCATCAACATGTGTCCCCTCTTCTTCATGTCTCTTCTTCATCAACATGTGTCCCCTCTTCTTCATGTCTCTTCTTCATCAACATGTGTCCCCTCTTCTTCATGTCTCTTCTACATCAACATGTGTCCCCTCTGTGGAAAGAGATTCTGAAAGTTTCAGGAAAAAAGATTCTCTCTCTTTTTGTCCTGATCCATTTATATAAAAACCTGTCTGAAAATGAGCTGATCAGATTTTGGCCACTTTATGATGTCATAATTGGGCTTGTGTAACCATTAGCCAATTAGCAACCAAGGTAACCCCCCCCCCCCCACCTTATCACCTGAATCACCTCCTAGAGCACCATTGAGTTCTTTGTAACCAAATCTCTCTCAGAGGGGCGTGGAGAGGGGCTCCTTATTTTCATCTAAAGTAACAGACAGAGAATCAGCACTTTGGAAACAGGGCTGAAACAGAGGGGATTATGGGATGCTGCAATGATCTGTTTGGTGTTTCAGACACTTCAGAGACATGTTTGTATATATCTGAGACCTATAATATATTGATGTATACAGCATAATAGGGGATATTTAATGAATATCTGTCTTTTGTTGTTATAGAAACCACATGTCTGCAGTCTCTGCCTCTGCTGTCCTCGCCAACTGGGAGGGTGTTTGTGTTGGACCACAAGCGCTGGACAGGCCCTATGAAGCAGGCTGTTGACAACCTGCTCAACAAACACCGTGGTCAGAAGGACATGCTGAAGCTTGTGGACAAGGACTATGCTGCTCTTGTTCTTAACTCCTGCACAGACCTAAACAGTATGCTTCACCCAACAACAAAACACCATATTTGTCAGTATGTGAAGCATGTTAGCAAGCTTCTGAACACCAGCTCCTCCATAAATATCAGCCCGGAGAAACTGCAAGAGAGGCAGGTCCTCTGGTACTCTCTCACAGAGGGTAGTGAGACCACCAGTGTGCCAGTTGTTACCATGCCTGTTGCCATTTTCAACCCCACACCTCCTGTTCAGACCCCAGCCACACCTCCTGTTCAGACCCCAGCCACACCTCCTGTTCAGACCCCAGCCACACCTCTGACACTAGAAAATCTTGAGAATATTGTCAGAAACATTATGGTCAACCAGCAGCAGCAGCAGCAGCAACAACAACTACAACAACAACAACAACAACTACAACTACAACTAGAACAACAACAGCAAAAGAAGAAACAGACAAAAAGCTGTCTTTCCTGCGGCCAGCCAAAGGCCCGCTTTGAAAATGATGGCTCTTCCATTCACCACTTCTACATGCAGGGCCCTGTCAGATACTTTTACTGCTCCACCAAAGTTTTTAAAACTTATGGTGCTGAAGGTCTGACAGACCCTAAAATGCCATTTGTAGACTTTTCTCAAACAGCTTTCTTTCCGCGGGAACTGGAAGCTATGAAGCAAAGGGTGGAGGCAAAAGTCCAGCAAAAAAGGAAGAACACCGAGCCAGAGCACAAAGGTCGCAAATGTGGATTTTGCAGAGTGGAACTCAAGCAGGGCCCAAACAGTCCTCACATACACACAGGATTCCCAGGAGTAGCAGGGAAGTATGTGTACTGTCCTGCTAAAGTGTTGTCACTCTACAGAGATCAGGGCATGGAGAAGAAGATGACCTGGAAGAAGTTCAAGGAGTCTGCTTTTTATGAGACTGAAAAGAAAAGATGGGAGGCTGGAAAGGGAAAATGACAAGGAGGGTTTGTTCATCATGACAATGTCTTTTGCTAGTTCCCAGGAATAACACTTCTGTTGTTTTCCTCTGTCTTGTGTGTCTGTCAGTGTTATAATGTTACATTTTCATCCTGTGTGTTTAAAAAATGTATATTATTTAATTTACTACTGCTTTATTTAACAATATTGTATTTACTTCTACCTTATTTTGTTACTAATATACTATATTTGCATAACATAATCTGCTTTGAATTTTTACTGGTTCTTCTGTATTCAATAAAGATATTTTCTTGATTAATGTCTACATGTCTGTAGTGAGTGATTTATGGTCTATATCTTAAATATAAATAATAATAATAATAATAATAATACCATTTTCTGATGACTTTTTACTTTGACTTCTTACATTTTGAACACAAATACCTGTACTTTCTACTTCTTACATTTTGAACACAAATACCTGTACTTTCTACTTCTTACATGTTGAACACAAATACCTGTACTTTCTACTTCTTACATGTTGAACACAAATACCTGTACTTTCTACTTCTTACATGTTGAACACAAATACCTGTACTTTCTACTTCTTACATGTTGAACCCAAATACCTGTACTTTCTACTTCTCACATGTTGAACACAAATACCTGTACTTTCTACTTCTTACATGTTGAACACAAATACCTGTACTTTCTACTTCTTACATGTTGAACACAAATACCTGTACTTTCTACTTCTTACATGTTGAACACAAATACCTGTACTTTCTACTTCTTACATGTTGAACCCAAATACCTGTACTTTCTACTTCTTACATGTTGAACACAAATACCTGTACTTTCTACTTCTTACATGTTGAACACAAATACCTGTACTTTCTACTTCTTACATGTTGAACACAAATACCTGTACTTTCTACTTCTTACATGTTGAACACAAATACCTGTACTTTCTACTTCTTACATGTTGAACCCAAATACCTGTACTTTCTACTTCTCACATTTTCCAAACAGGCTGGTTCCTTTAGTTTGAATGTGTGTTTGGTGGCGTGATCATTATTATTTAGAGTCATTGCGTGCCTATTGATTTGAACACGATCCGTGTATCCATCATTTCCTGGTCTTCTCTAAAGAAGAGGGACCAATGAAAACGTTGTCATGTTGCCGTTGTTCAGCATGGAAACATTCATTAGCTAACAATGACATTATTGTTCTATTAATATAAAGGGAGGTCAGGTACTCTTTAAAACAGCTGCTAGTTATGGGTACTTTTTACTGAAGTACATTTCAAAGCCCTCTTTACTTTTATTGAGTAAAGAAGTTTAGGCCCCGCTCACACGGGACCGTTTGCGTTTATGCACAGTATGCGTATTTAAAAAAGTCTTCCGTTCACATGCATTTGTTTCATTTAACGTGTCTGTTCAAACGAGGCCGCTGGAAACGCTGTAGTACATATGCCGGGACTGTAAGTGGCGCTGTAACTTCCGCCAAAATACACCAAAAGCAGCGAAGAAGAGCAGCCCCAGCAGCCCCCGCCGCAATGTTGCCATGGCTACCCTTCTGTTCATGCCCCGCCGTGTATTTAGCAACATGTAGTTCATGTAATTCTCCATGTCCACTTGTTGCTGATGGTTGTGGTAGAGGAGCTGTATATTTTTGCACTAATATCTGTAGCATGGTCAGTAGCAGTAGCACTAGCAGTAGCTACTGACAGGAGGAAGTGTGTGTGGTGATTGCTGGTATTCAGCGGGATATAGTAATTTCCTCAGCATATGGATAAATGCTACGGGGAAGTTAACTGAAAGAAACCGAATCTGTGGATATTGCATCGACCGACGTCTCCGTGGAGAGGACCCGCTCAGAAAAGAGAGATATTCTCTACAAACACCGGGTGAGATCCTCCTTTGTCAATATAATGGATCAATGCATGAAATCTGACTCTGTTTATTTTGTTTAAGGAGTATATTGGGCGTTAACTATTCTGGTTTGCCTTTTATAATATTATTTCATTCAAGAACCCCTTGTGCGTTTAATTAACACAGCTATTTTTGATAGTTGCTACAGCAATGAGCAGGAGAGGTGCTATCTTTTTTTTTTTTCAGGAAATATTCGTATAGAGGTGATTACACGGACTCGGTTGACCCCCCAGAGCGTTTCGTTTGCAAATCTATCCACCTTGGGACCCGTTATCGTTTGTGGGGTCAGTTTCTATCGGCCTCGTGTAAATAATAGGGCTATACGCACGCGAAACTATGCAGATACAAGCAGTTTTCTCCTCGTGTAAACGGCGCCTGAGGTTTAAACACGAGTATCTGAACTTCTACTTGAGTAAAGGATTTGTGTACTTTTGCCATCTCTGGTTATTGATATTAAAAGAAAAGAAAAATAATCAGTTCATTCACTCCTCTGGCATTTACCAGTTTTCCACTGATACCCGTTTTCCCCGCTCGACCTGTTTGGTGGCTCTAGCCCCACCCCCCTCACCTCTTCCTTATTTAACCAGAGAGAAACCTTTTCCTTCTCTCAGTCCTTACAAGACTTACCTCTGGATCCTCTTCTTCCACTGTTCTGCTCAGGATTGTATCTATCTAGCCATCTTATTGCATCTGACAGTCTCAGCATGAGTGCCAAACTGTGGACAGAGGAGCAGTTTAACTGTCCTGTGTGTCTGGATCTCCCAAATGATCCAGTAACCATCCCTTGTGGGCACAGCTACTGCATGGCCTGCATCAAGGACTACTGGAGCAAGAACGATCCCAAGGGCGTCTACAGCTGCCCACAATGCCGAAAGTCCTTCAGTCCCAAGCCCTCCTTGTCGAGAAACACCATGCTGGCTGAGGCTGTAGAGCAGCTCCGCAAAGGGGCCCAAATAGCTGATGTTCGTGCCTCTATGCGAAGCGGCACTGGCTTTGCCTCATCCAAAACCAAAAGGAAACTCTCTTCCTCTGCAGTGTTATGCGACATGTGCAAAGGAGAACAGCGAGCAGCGGTCAAGAGCTGCCTGGTGTGCATGAGTTCATTCTGCGAAGCCCACCTGAAGCCCCACAAGACCAAGAAGTCCCTGAGTAAGCACGAGCTGATAGCACCCACAAGCAATCTGGCTGAGAAGATCTGCACAGAGCACAAATACCTGCAAGAGTTCTTCTGTCGCCAGTGTAAAATGTTTGTCTGCTGGCTGTGCACCAGCAACCAGCACAAAGGCCACGAGTGTGTGTCCACCAAGGTTGAGCGTTTGGAGAAACAGGTAAGAATGGTCTCAGAGACCAAATGGAAAGGTGCAAAAACATTGTGGCAGTGATGAAAAGTTACTCTACTATTATGCAGGCTCCACTGTAACTGTATGGGCATCACATTTCAAGTGTTTAGGTGGAAACCTTTTTTATTAAGTATCTGAACAACCTGTGTCAATATGTGAATAATCCTGAATAACATTTAAGATGGATCATATATTGCAACACAATGTTATCTATTTAAATAAGCCCACCTTCAATAAGAAGTGGGCACCAGTTTCTATTATGAGGGACAATTGATGACCTCTCCTGCTGTGTGTGTGTGTGTGTGTGTGTGTGTGTGTGTGTGTGTGTGTGTGTGTGTGTGTGTGTGTGTGTGTGTGTGTGTGTGTGTGTGTGTGTGTGTGTGTGTGTGTGTGTGTGTGTGTGTGTGTGTGTGTGTGTGTGTGTGTGTGTGTGTGTGTGTGTGTGTGTGTGTGTGTGTGTGTGTGTGTGTGTGTGTGTGTGTGTGTGTGTGTGTGTGTTCCTCTCTCCCTTTGTGTGTGACGTGGTTGACAAACTACATTCCTCTTCATTCTTTGCTCCACCCTTTCATGTTGTCCTCTTTCACACGCACAGCTGCTTCCTTGTACTTGTGTGTGAGATATGATTTTTTATTTTGCGTCTTTATGTGCCGTCCTATAGAAATTGATGTCAGAGATGCAGACAGAGAATACGCAGAGACTGAAGGAGAGAGAGCAGGAGCTGAAAGACATGAAGAAGATGATGGAGGTGACGAAGGTTGGTTTGAACCTTGCAATAGTCATTTTAGATGGGGGTCAGAGGGGGCTTTTTGTCATTGATAGAAACCTACAACAACTGCAAAGAGACACAGAAAGACTACAAAGAGATGATACAACTGCAAAGAGAAAACAAAGAGACTGCCAACAACCAGAACAGGGGGGAAACAACAACAAAAACACCACACGAAAACGACCATAAGGAAACCCAAAAGGACTACAAAGATGCACAAACAACCACAAAATGACCAAATAAGACAAAAACAACCACAAAAACACACAAAATTACAAAAAAAAGAGCCCAAACGGCTTAAAAGTCAGTTTTTCTTGTTACTATGTAGGATAGATAATGGGGATCTATGCATCTCTGTGCCAAGGAGGCCTTTGTCTCTTAGGCCCCGGCTCCACGGGAACGCATACGGCAAAACGCATAGGAGTAACGCAAACGCCAAAAAGCTTCCGCCCACACGCAATATACACCGGATAGTGTCTTCCCACACGAGACGGCTCCGTTTAGATCCAACCGCTGGAAAAGCTGCAGTACATATGCCGAGCCTGTACGTGGCGCTGTAACTTCCTCCACAAAAGCAGCAACTTCCTCCACAAAAGCAGCGAAGAAGAATGGTTGTCATGGCTGCAGTTCTGTTTATTCTCCGCGGTGGGGGCCGAGGGAACCGGGCAGAGTTTTTCGCCGGTCAACGTGTGTTAAAGTTTAAATCTTCATGCTTCCTCATGCAGCAGCTGATCCAGTAAGTAAACCCGACAGTAAAAATAAACATATTTATAACTAGTTTAGGTAGTTTGAGAGGTAATTAAAATAGCTAAGGGTGGTGATCTGACTTGAAGTGTGTGTTTTGCTCCCGCAGCATCACAGCGGCAGGAGCTGCGTGTCTCCGTCCTGTCAGATTAGACTTCACTCGCGTTTATGTTCATATCGAGAGAAAGATAAATAATCTGAATTCAGTGTGCAGTGTACTTTTGCGGGGGTGAGCAGGAGAGGCGGGGCTATTGCGTCGTCATTATCAGAAACGGATGACCGTATAGGCGACCACACGGCCCCGTTGGACCCCCCAGAGCGCTCCGTTCCCAGATCTATCCACCTTTGGACCCGTTGTCGTTTGCAGGGTCCGTTTCCACCGTTCCGTTACGGCGTCGTCGAGCTTAAAGGGCTATACGCAAGAGAAATATGC